CTTTCCCTTCCTCTCTTCCTTTCCTTCTCATCTCATTGCTTCTTTCCTTCCCTCTTCTCTGTTCCTCCCCTTTCTTTGAGACAGGGTCTCACTATGTATGTAGCAAAGGCTGGCCCTGAGCTCACACTCCTCCTGCCTCGGTCTCCTGAGTGCTAAAATTATACGTGCATGCTATCAGGCCTGGCTTAAATTAGCTTCTTGATCATTATTGACATTTGGGTTGTTTTGAGCAGTGTGTTTGGCATGCTACACACACCATCCATGATGTAATTGACACTCCATCAGACAAGTGATGGAAACAAGGCACAGTCACCTGAGGTCTCAGTGTGCAGTCACCCAAGGACTCAATGTGCACAGTCACCCATAGTCTCAGTGTGCACAGCCACCTGAAGTCTCAGTATGCACAGTCACCCAAGGTCTCAGTGTGCAAATCACCCATGGTCTCATTGTGCACAGTCACCCGAGGTCTCAATGTGCACAGTCACTCATAGTCTCAGTGTGCACAGTCACCCATGGTCTCATTATGCACAGTCACCCATGGTCTCAGTGTTCACAGTCACCCGAGGTCTCGGTGTGCACAATCACCTCAGTTGTGTGATTCCTGTGTCCAGGCAACTGGCTCCCAATTTACGTTGGCTGCACTAACCTCTAGCTGTCCAGCTATCCATGAGCTGCTTCTGACTTGGACAAAATGAATGAAGCCTCATAGAGAAAAATATGTCCATTTTATTTGAGCACAACACAGAGCATGAAGCTTGGGGGTGTGACATCACAAACACACACAGACAGAACAATGCACCTGACTTTCAGGGGAAAAGAGGAAGCCAGAGGCAGGAGATCTGGCTGACATGAAAACAGTTCCCCGAATTCTTAATTAGTGGTGTGTGAGGTGTGTGGCTGGGAGAGGAGTGCTCACAGTCCATGGTCTTGGCTTTCTCTACTCCACCATGGAAGATGGGCACTGCTGTGCTTCAAAGGCAGGAGAGCTTTGAAGTGTCCTGGGCCTCAGTGCAGTGGGAAGCGAATCCTGGAGGGAAGGACTAGAGTTGTGAGTGCCCCAGGCCTCTGGGGAACAGCCTGGCATTCATGCGAACAGGCAGGGACTATGAAGTTGAACCCAGTCTGGCTGTGAGGCCAGAGAGGCCGGAGTGAGTATGCAGAGCAGGGAGTCCCAGTCAGACTCCATATGGCTTTGCTTGGAGAATGTGGCACAGCCTGGCCAGCCCATAAAGCTTTTCACAACGAACAACACAGACCCAGATGAGCACTATCTATGGACACTGCACAGAACCACTGCACATAGGATGGGGGAGGGCATGGAATGGGCAGGTTGGGAGACCTGGAGGCTGGGATGCCATGTGTCCTGCCCATGGCCTCGGGCAATGTCCAGGCCTTGATGCTCCTCTGCCCCAGGCAGACACTGGCTACTGCTTCAAGCCAGATGCTGCTCCTGCCAGCTCTGCTCCACTGCTCTCCGTCCTCCTACGCAGGGCAGATGCCAGCTTAGAAAGGTAGAGAAGAGTCAGCCCTGTCTCCTGAAAAGGGACACACTCTGGATGAGGGTGGAGCTTTCACCCAGCCCCTCCTTATCCCCAGGAGTGGGTTTTCCCTTCCCAGGTGTGGGTGACCCCCCAGCCTTGCGTGCCAGCTTCAGACCTTACCTGAAAACTTCACAGGCTCCTGGGATCACATAATGAGACACACCCCCGTTTGCCCAGCCCGACAGTGGGAGCTGCCACTGGCTTTCACTGGTACCATGACCTCCGACTTGAAGTTCCTGGAAAGGAGACAGAGTAGAGTCAGTCCTTGAATTATTTAGGGAAGAAGGAAGACAGCTGGTGTTCTTCACACCCACAGCATCTGCCTTGTCATGCCTTTCTGAAGTTCTGATGGCACAGGCCCTGCTGTGAAGACCCCCAGGGTCTTCCCTTCTTTCCTGCCCCAAATAGGGATGTACGGTTGAGTCGGAGAATGAATCTAGCACCAGTACTTCCCATTCACACATCTGCCTTGTCCTTTGTTCAGTCCTTAGGGCTGAGTGTACTGTGCATGTGAGACAAGGGCAGAGGCCCAGCCTGTCTGTCTGCTAGGTCTTTGCAGTGCCTCTGTGATGCATTTTATAGATGAGCAAACTTCAAGCCAGAGGCAAGACCTAGCTGCTTTCTCTGGCTGGTGGCAGGAGCTTCTCTTGCCTGAGCCCAGAGTTCCTTCCACCCTGTAACTGCCTATCAGTGAGCCTGACTTCTGTGTTCATGTTTTTTCAGCAAAGTGTTCCTGCCCCTTCTGAAGTGGATGGGCAGGTCGAGGCTGAGCGCCCGAGACTACGTACTGTTTTTTGTTGGCCTTTCTGAAGAGGGTGGGCTCCGAGCAGTAGGAGGACTTTCCCTTGTTCCCGATATTTAGACAGCTGGAGCAGCAGCCACAGGGCCCAGTGGCCAGGGGGCCCTGTTGCATGGGCACTAGGCTACTGCTGATGCGCAGAGAGCCATTGACCAGGCAGTTGAGAGAGCGGCCTCCGGGAGCTGAAGGCCGGGAGCTGAGCGGGCAGGGCAGTCGGGTCAGTGCAGGAAGGGGTGTGCTTGGGTCTAGGACGGGGGCTTCTGTGATGGTACTGTCGTGGGAGCTTGGTCTGGAGACATCAGGAGCTGGGGACACAGGTGGCCTGTTCTCCACCTCTGGGCGGACACTGGGGCTGTGCAGGTTCATATGCAGTTTCCTCATGTGGTGCACCACTGCGGCCGCGTTGAAGGCTTGCTGAGGAGGCAGGGAGTGTCTGGTTCTGCTCTTGCAGAGCCTGCTGGGTTCCAGCTTCTCCCCGGGGCCTCTGGAAACCAACCTGCCCACACCTCAGCTCACAGAGAGCACAGGACACTGCTGTTGCCTGGGAGAGGGATGCCCTGGGAAACCTGTCCACCAGCCTCAGACAGTTCAGCCTCCCCAGGGGCCCAGAACAGGACGCTCAGCCTCTGAGCACAGCTCACCCTCCACTTGCTCTTGGCGAAGTTCTTCTGAATCTGGAGGCTGACAGATGGGTAGATGTCCCGGTGCAGGGCCGTGTTCCCATCAATCCTGGCACGTAGGAGGGGATTTGGCTACCAGGTGTCCCTGACACTCAAGTCAGAAGTTGGACAGGGCTCTGAGCATGCAGGGCCAGGTTCAATGGATAGGATATCCCAGGAGAAGGGTGGTTCCAACAGGAGGGGACTCCTGTATCTCCCTGGACAGGTCATGGGGGGCTTTTGAGAACGATGTTGGCAAACTGTGGTCTTGGGGACTGTTCTGCTCATCGCCTGCTGTTTGCAAGGAAGGGCTCACTGGGTGCAGCTATGAGCACCAACAGGTATTGTCCATGGCTATTTATGTGTTACTCAGGAGCACTGAGTAAGTGCTGTAGGTAGCAAAGCCTCAACTCTTCACCCCCTGTTCCTTTGCATCACAGGGCTCCCTGTCACTGCTCAGCTAAATCTTTATCCTTGCTCAGCAGCCAGTCCATGGGTCCTACAGGTGACATGGAAGTCAAGAGGAGGGAAATTTTCTGGGGCAACCATAGGTGTAGTAAAGAATAAGCCTGGGGTAAGGGTAGGGGGAAGGCAGGAAGAGTGATCTAGCTCCCAAGTCTGTCTGGACCAGAGATGGTTGGCTAGAATTGTGGGGACTGGTGAAAAAAGGCTGAATAAGATTAGGGGGATCCTGGAGAGGCAAAGGACTCTGTGCCTGCTATGGGAGGAGGTAGGAACACTGTAAGTTCTTGAGCAGAGGACCAGGGTAATATGAAAAGGCAGTGCCTCAGGATTCACCCATCTTATTAAGTCACATGTCACACACATACACACTCACACACACACACTCACATGCACACACACTTACACACCTACATACATGTGTGTGCACAAGCATGCACACACACTCATGAGTGCACACACATGCATACATGCATGCACACAGGCAACATACATACGCACACATGCACACACATACACTCATGAGTGCACACACACCCACACGCGCACACACGCACACGCGCACACGCACACACACACTATCTGCAGAACTAGGGATTGACCTAAAGCCTTCTGGATGTACTCTACCACTGAGCTACACCCCTAGCAACATGCCCCTTAGGACAGGTTGCCTCTTTGGTAACTAGCACTCAACATTTTACCAAGTAGGAGCTGATTCCTAGCCTGTAGACTGAACTCTGTGGAAGTGATTGGAGCAATTGGCTAGCCTCTGCAGGTCAGACTGGCCCAACCCAGGACTGTCTGCAGGCTACTGGGCCTGATGAACATGTGTGTTTCTTGGATGCCTCAGTACTAGCTTATGATGTCCAGGGGCTCATGGGAGTTAGCTTGGCCTTGGGAACCAGAATCAGGGGAGACAGAGCCCATCCCATCTGTTACTTACCAGGGGTGTCTTAAGGCCTTCTCGCAGGTGTACCGTTCATTTGGGTCCTTCTCCAGCAGATGGCAAATAAAGTCCTTGGCTAAGAGGAATATCAGAGGCTCAGCTAAGGAGCAGATTTCATGACTGATAGAAATTCACTTCCGGGCTGGTGGGCGGCAGTGAATGCATCTTTAGCTAATCTTGCAAAGAGGCAGCTTTAAATCTTAAAGCAAGGAGAGGGAAAAAATCCAAACCACCTAACAACCCACCACAAGCCACCAAGAGGAGAGCTCTAGGCAGCCTCACCCACACATACAGGGGAACCTTGCCAGTCACGTCACACCAATGTGCCTGCACACCGTGTGCACGCAATTGCTGGTAAACACATGGGCTAACACGTGAGTGCTGGCTTCTCCCATCTCTGACCACCACTTACCAGGACCTACAGGCATGCATGGCTCCTTTTTCACATAGGAAATGCATGCTGCCTTCTCTGTCAAGTAGCATGCATGCTCCTTCTTACACACGGCATGCACACCACCTTCTCTCCTGCCCAGGTTGCATGTGGCCTTCTCCCATACCAGGGACTGTCATCTCCATTAAGATAGTTTCTCTTGCAGCCTCTGCTCTCATACTCACCTGACTCAGAAATGTCATCCCAGAAGGGAGACTCAAACTCGTAGTAGCCCTCTTTGATCTTCTCAAAAAGCTTTGACTCTGTTTCCTCATAGAAAGGGGGATACCCACACAGCCTGCAGGAAGACAGGAAGGAGGGAGTCTGCTAGACATTCCTTCCTCCCTGGACCAGCCTCTCCTCCAGCCTCCTACTGTACACATTCATAGTCAATGAGGGTCCCAGAGGAGCAGTGTGACCAGGAGGTCAACCCGTCCATCATTCAGAACAGGTCAGGTCCCACAGAGCAAGCACATGCAGGGCTGAGGCCTGAAGCGGAGTCTCTGGAAGGACCCTGTGCAGGCTGTCTGCCCACTGAGCCCTCACTTCCTCTGGTTGTCGAGTGTTCTCTATAAAGCACCCTTAAGAAGGACGGGGAACATCACAAGAGGTTAGGCTCTTTTGGTCATTTTTTGGGACAGGGTCTCGTGTAGCCCAAAGTTAACTTTGAACTTTCTATATAGCTAAGGATGACCTTGAACTTTTGCTTCTCCTGCCTCCATCCTGAGTACCAGGATTACATTTGTGGGCTACCATAACCAGGTTCTATTTTCTAAAAAGGATGCTGTTTTGCATTTATATGTTTATATGGGTCTGTGTGTCACCTGGGCACAGGTATGCAATAGAGGCCAGAAGAGGGCATCAGATCCCCCTGGAGCTACAGTTGCAGGCCTGATGTGGGTTTTCTGAAAAAGCAGCGAGTGCTCCTAACTGTGGAGGTCTCGCTAGCCCCCTCCTCAGCTTTGAACTGTACTATGACTGAACTCAGGACTCCATGCATGCTAGGCAGGCTCTCTCTCAACTGAGTTCCACCCCCAGGGCCCAGCCTAGGGGGCAGGCAACTCAGACATATTATTAGCTATGGTGGGGGAATGCATGGTTGTGTGTGTGTGTGTGTGTGTGTGTGTGTACATAAATGAGTTTGTGTGTGTGTATGTGTACGTATACATAAGTGAGCTTATGTGTATGTGTGTGTGTACATAAATGAGCTTGTGTGTGTGCGTACATAAGTGAGCTTGTGTGTGTGTATGTATATAAGTGAGCTTGTGTGTATGTGTATAAGTGAGCTTTTGTAGGTATGTTTGTGTATGTACATAAGTGAGCTCATGTGTGTGTGTGTGTACCTAAGTGAGCTTGTGTGTGCATGTATGTGTGTGTGTACATAAATGGGCTTGTGTGTGTGTGTACAATAAATGAGCTTTGTTTGTATGTACATAAGTGAGCTTGTGTGTGCATGTACCTAAGTGAGCTTGTGTGTGTGTGTGTGTGTGTATGTACATATGTGAGCTTGTGTGTATGTACATAAGTGAGCTTGTGTGTATGTGTGTGTGTACATAAGTGAGCTTGTGTGTGTATGTACATAAGTGAGCTTGTGTGTATGTACATAAGTGAGCTTGTGTGTATGTGTGTGTGTACATAAGTGGGCTTGTGTGTATGTGTGTGTTCATAAGTGAGCTTGTGAGTGTGTGATCACACATGCACACACAGATGCCTGAGGGGAGACGGGGTGAGCAGTCCCTGAGACCAACACCAAGGCCTGCTTTTACTCACAATATGTACGTGATGACACCGATGGACCAGCAGTCCACAGCCTTACTGTAGGGCTTCTGGGCCAGCACTTCTGGAGCTGTAGGAAATCAATGGTAGGTTCAGGGCTAGGGACAAGAGAGGAGGCCAGAGAGAGGAGCAGAGAATAGGAAAAGGATGGGAGTAGGGAATGGAAGGGTAGGATAGGGAACATCTATGAGACTGAAAACTCCCCAAAGGTGGGGGACTGTATCTCCCCAAGCAGGCAAACTCTTCCTGAGAGGAGAGACCTGCCCCTCCATCAATCTGGGAGTTTCCATAAGCTGCTTATGATTCCTCCATCAGACTAAGTACCCTCTGAGAGTTAACACCTGTCTGTGCTCACATGGGGGACCCTCAGGATAAGGGTCACATGGGGGGACCCCAGTCTCTGTCTTCAGAGCAGAGATCTGCAGGGTGGTACGGTCTCTTCCCCCACTGCTGCAGGAGCCCTGGATGGCAGAGTCTCCCTATCCTGTTCATCTCAGGAAGCAACCAGAAGGTGGCAGGAACTTGCTCATCTATCTCTGGGTACCTGCCTAGGGCAGGAGCTTGAGGGCTCAGTAAAACCATCAGCCATGCTTCCCTCAGATTGGGAGAGTCATTCAGAGAGAGAGCTGCCTTCTGAGGGTACCCCAATATTAGGTTTAGTATCCATAGAAGTCTACATCTTTAGGTAGAGGACTAAACTCCCTATGGAAGAGAGTAGGGTCTTTCTGGGAGTCTGGACTCCTACTTTCCCAAGTCCATCCTGTGGTAGCTGCCTAAATAGAGGTTATTCTCTTTCCTCTTCCTCCTCTCAAGTCCCAGGACTGCAACAACCAGGTGCCTTGTCACTGTCTCTCTTTTCAGGAGTCCTGGCATCTGAACTGGCACAATGCCCTGCTTCTGCTACTCCCCGCCCCCGTGTGCATCCTAGAATTACGTGAAATGCTCACACCCCTTGGGTCCAAACTCATCATCATGTGAATCCAGACTCCTGGCAGCTGGGGGTTCTAGTGTAGGGGAGGAAGGGGGAGTTGCTCCACCCCTTAGCTCTCTGCCAGTCTCAGGTTGTCACTGTGGCAAAGTGTGCCTAGAGTCTCTTTGGAAGGGCTCAGGGCAAGCTCTGTAAAGGGCAGGATTAGACAGGCAAATGGGCTGGCCAAGGGCTCTATTAGACAGTACCCAGGACGAACATGTCCACACATAGTCACTTTTTTCCTGTGAGTTTTATCAGTTGTGCTGGTCAACTTAACATAAGCTAGAGTTATCCAGGAAGAGGAAACTTCAGTTGAGGAGTGGCCTCCATCAGATTGGAGTGTGGGTGGGTTTGTGGGGGCATTATTGATTTGGGGTTGATGTGGGTTGAGGAGGAGCCCAGTGTGGTAGAATATTATTTTAAGGTGTGTGACTTTTGTCTATGCTGCATTTGTTTAACTCGGTGAAGCTGTGATTCTTTGTTTGTCTAAAACACCTGATGGTACTAATGAAGAGCTGAACAGCTGGCCAATAGCGAGGCAGGAGCAAGGCTAGGCGGGGCTGGCAGACAGAGTATTAATAGAAAAAGAACTGAGGAAGGAGAGAGCAAGAGAACAAGAAGAGGAGGACATCAGGGGCAGCCACTCAACTATCTAGTTACACAGCAATCCATGGGGTAAGAGGAAGATTTACAGAAGTAAGAGAACAGGAAAAGCCCGGAAGCAAAGGTAGATGGGATAATTTAAGTTAAGAAAAACTGGCAAGAAACAAGCCAAACTAAGTCTGGGCATTCATAATTAAGAATAAGCCTCCGTGTGTGATTCATTTGGGAGCTGGGTGGCGGGCCGTCCAAAAGCAAAAAGAGTAAAAAACAGGACAACAGCCCAGGACATTGTGGTTGGTGCCACCCCTTGGCAAGTTGTCCTGGGTGGGATAAGAAAGCAGTTTGAGCAAGCCAGTAAGCAGCACCCCTCCATGGCTGCTGCTTCAGTTCTTGCCTCCAGGTTCCTGCCTTGCACAGCTGTTCTGACTTCTTTGGATGGACTGTGTCAGGGCATACAAGCCAAATAAACCTTTTCCTGCCCTATGAGGCAGTGTTTTTGTCAGTGTTTTTTATCCCAGCTGCAGAAGGCAAACTAAGATAGAGTTTGGTACCAGATAAAGTGGGGATATTACTGTGTCAGATCTGTCCACATCAGTTTTGAAGGGAGATTGTGGAAGGTTGGGGGGGGGCAGAGGGCTAGAAAAGGCCGTCAAATGTCCAGAGATTAATGAGCTATTATGGGACCTTAGAAGATAGGACTTTCAAGTGGGGTGTAAATGATGGAGGCCTGGCTTGTGAAATTTCAGGGAAGTAAAGACTACCAGGGTTGTGCATGAGATATTTTGAATTAAGAATCCATGGCATATGGCCAACTGGAGTTTAAAAATTAGCTGAGATTAGCAAGAGACCAGCATTATTGAACTGAAGTTTTCTGGGAAGTGTTTCTCCAGGGTCAGCACACAGAAGCTGTAGTCTGAGGTGCACGGGACTGCACATCAAGCTGGCAGCAGAACTTGGCAAAAAAATGCAGAAGAGGGTGCCACACAGTACTGGTTTTGAAGGCACGAGTGGATCACGGATAGTAGCTCAGACTTGGCACTATGTGCCATTGTTAGAGTTTCCATTAAGTGAGGCCAGGAGAACTGAAGGTGCAGATTCATTGCAGTGGAGACCTCAGGATACTACAGAGCCAGGACTGTGAGATGACCACCAAGGATGGTAATAGGTATGCAGTTAGATGTCTTGAGTCTACGGGGCAAACTTTATGTTGTGTACAGCAGAGCCAGAGAAATGAGCTGCCCAAGCCCTTTGGAGCCAAGAAGACAGTGAATCCCAAATGTTGTCATTGATCTATTTGCTACATTAAATCAATGTTTTTGCTTTACTTCCACTGAAGCTTCACACTGGTTCTCTTTTGGAGTAAGAAAGTATTTAACTTGTTTTGTATTTCACAGGAACCCACAGTTAAGAGATGGATATTTTAAAAAGTTGTTAAACTTTGGAAAGTGTTGGAAATGTTAAAGACTGTGTTTAATATTGTGATGTTAGCATGATATGTTGGGAGCAAACAAGAAAAGAAAGGTTATGGTTTAATAGTTACCTGTTTGTGTGTCAAACTGACACACGGTATTGGTTGCGCTGTTTAGTTTATGTCAACTTGACACAAGCTAGAGCTATCTGGGAAGGAGGAACCCTGGTCAAGGAATTGCTGCCATCAGATTGGCCTGTGGGCAAGTCTGTGGGATGTTTTCATGCTTAATGACTGATGTGGGAGGACCCTGCCCACTGTGGGCAGTGTCATCTCTGAGCAAGCCATGGGAAGCAAGCAAGCAAGAGGCGTTCCTCCATGGCCTCCTCTTCAGTTCCTGTTTCCTTCTTGAGTTACCTTCGTGCTATAAGATATAAGATCAAATGAGCCCTTTCCTCTTTTGGTCATGGTGTTTATCACACACAGCAACCGAACGCTAACTCCTCAGACACTAGCGGTCAGCTTCTGCTGCTCCTGGACTCACCCACATAGCCTGGGGTCCCACAGGCCGTGGACATGACTCCATTCTGCTCCATCTTGGACAGACCGAAGTCAGTAATCATGATCTTGGAGTTCTCCTCAGGGGTGAGGTACAGCAGGTTCTCAGGCTGCAGAAGAAGATATGCAACATAGGAAGGAACCGCCTGAAGAGTGTGCCTGTCTTCTTGATTCAGGATTTCCTGGAACGCTAAGCCCTGGACTCCCAACTCGGAAGCCACAACTCCTTTCCCTGTTCCTCCCACCTTCCTCCTATCTGTGTCCTTGCTCTGCATCCTACAACTCTGTATCGTGCTTATGGTGGTGGCCTTGCTCACCTCTCCCCACTTGCAACTACCCTAAACTGCATTTGGGGGATAGAGCCCTAGGCTGATTGTCTCTTATCTCCCAAAGTCTACTGCAGAGCCTGTTACAGTTTAGACCCTTAGTGGGTGTTTGCTATGCTTGAATTGGACTGTGGCTGTGGGCTATTTTGTCATCTCAATGGGGAGAGTATTCTAAAGGCTCATAGAAAGGCTACGGCGTAGTTGAACAGCGATCATTTATGATCAGCATGAGGACTCAGAGTCCAGCCAGAACGACACTCTCGTTTGAGAGTTCTGCTTCTCAGGCCTCATGCAGCACCTTGATATTCACCCGGTGTTCCTGACATGCATTTCCCACCCAGAACTCCTGCCCTGTCACCTTTAGATCTCTGTGGACGATGCCATTCTCATGGAGGTATTTCACTGCCGACAAGACCTGCTGGATGACCAGGCTGGCGTCTTTCTCTGTGTAGACACCACGCTCCAGGATCCGGTCAAAAAGCTCACCCCCAGAAACACTGTGGGCACAAGAATCTGATTTCACATGGGGTGAAAGGCCAAGCACTTCTCTGCAGCCATGGGCTGTAAGCACAGGCAGGCACCCTGAAGAGGGATGGGAGGATACAGGGAAGCATTCTCCTGCCTCAGAATGCTCCTTTGGGGTGTCTGGGATGACCACTAGGGTCCATTTCTTGGGTTCAAGCATTGGTTGGCTGATCTTTTTCTGGAAGCTTCTATTATGATTCAAATGGCTTTGGTTAGAGTGCCTGGAAAAGCTAGGAATTCCTTCCTATGGATGCTGACCTTGCTTTCCCGGGACACAGGAAGCCACTGTAACACAGAGAGGTGATTCAAAATTGGAGAAAGTGTGAAAATGAGATTAACTATGCATACCTTTATAACAGGACTACTTCCCTCTTTAGGGAAACTGGGCTATCCAAGGCTGTGATTTCAGACAGGGACGCAGAAGTATTTTGGAACTTGAATGGAATGGAGAATGAGAACTTTAGAGCTTAAAAATCAAGTCTGATCCTCCATTATCATCTATGCTATGTTTCTAGACGTTTCCGGTCAGTACTAGAACACCAGTGCTAGAGAACTCTTTCTCCTCGAGTGTATTCTGAGTATTTTTAGGTATCATGCTGAAACCTGACACCTTGTAGTTCCAACAGCTCCAACCCTGCTACCACACTCCAGTGACAGTGACAGACACAGAGACCATTCTACAGTCGTACAGGAGGATACACCACATAGCCTGCATTTAATTTAAGTGGATCTCTCTTGAGAAATTCCTTCTTTATGCTGAGTTGAAATAATCTACCTCAGGTTTCTTCTCTCACAATCACTTTATCCTAGAATGATGTTACTATGTTTACTGTGGGGAGTCCATAGAAATAGACTCATTAAAGGTGGTTCCAGAGAAGGATTCTGGTGGCTTATGTTATGCCTGGCATTGTTACCTCTTCAGTGGATGAGTGGTTGGGAAGTCCCAGAAGACCTTATGGCTAGCAAAGAGCATGGACAGCTATTGTCTGCTCATAGGAAATATCCTAACTGCAAGCCTGTGCTGGTACGAACCAACTCAACCATCAGCCCCAGTGCTGCCCTTCAGCCCAGCACACAGAAGGACAGCATTTCAGAGCCCCTGGAGCTTTCTTGGCTTCACCTGGCAGCCATTCTCCCCTGACCCTCCTCCCCAGACCTCTTCACTTACAGCTGCATGACCAGGTAGTAGTGGGTGGTGCTCTCGTAGATGTCCTCCAGGGTCACTATGTTTTCATGCTTGATCCTGAAAAAGATAAGAATCCTGTGATGAGTACATGGTTCAGGTGGCAAAGACTGAGGACCCAGACACAAATTTCTACCAGTTGTTTGGATGGCAATGTGTAAGAAGACTGGGTCTGAGAAGCCTTCCTGATAAGGCCAGCACAAAGCAGCTGCAGAGGAAAGACCTGCTCTGTGTGTTAGTGGCATCATCCCATGGGTTGGGGGTCCTGACTGGATAAAAAGAGAAAGTGACTGAGCACCAGCCTTCATCTCTCAGCCTCCTGCCTGTGGGTGTGACCTGCTCAGCTGCCTCGTGGCCCTGCCTCTTCTTTTCCATAATGGACCAGATCCTTCAAACTGTGAATCAAAACAAACCCCTCTTACAGTGGCATCTTCCTTTGCCAATGAACTTGATGTGGTGGCCACACCCTATGGGTGTGGCTTCAAACTCACATTGATTGCCCTCCCTTGTGAGGCAGGATGCCACTACACCCTTCCTTCTTTACATGTTTTTTGGGGCCAGGTATTTTGTCATAATGACAAGAAAAGTAATCGATATAGTAACCATGAAAAGGGAGTTGAGATGTGAAAAAAAAGGCAGATTCTGATTTTCTGTGGAATACCTTAGATGAGTGATTCTCTATTGGGATATTTGCCCCGAAAGGACATTTGGCAACTATCCATGTATCTGTTCATGCATGCATCTGTGTTGTAGCGATACCTTGTTTATACTCTAACACAGCTTGCCTGGAGATCAGAGGGCAGAGATAGCCACTGGTTAACCATAGAGGTCTGGAGGTTTGTACAGACAGACAGGAAGTGAGATGGCTGGCATATGTCCATGTTGTATGAATGTGCTTTCTTTGGGTATATGGCCAAGAGAGGAATTCATGTATCTTGAGGTAGACTGATTCCCAAATTCCTGAGAAGCCACCAAATGATTTCCAAAATGGTCTTACAAGTTTGCACTCCCACCAGCAATGGAGGAGTCTTCCTTTTTCTCCACATCCTCTCCGTTATAGGTTATAGGATAGATCTGGCATTAGGGAGGTGGAGGGAGGGAGGGATAAGGTGGGAAGAGACAGGAGCTCAGTCTCTTTTGGGCTGGGAAGTTAGCGAGGTAGAGTTGGTTGTATTTATCTGACCTTTCAGCATTTTCCCCAATATCTGACTCTAGGCTTTTATTATTAAGACCTATTAGAATTCATGGTACATCATGTATCATCTATCACCTGTCTGTCTTTATCTTATATATATCTTCCAATCCCTCTAATTATCCTTTGCATTGTGGCTCTTGGTCTTTCTTTTTTTCTTCCTTTCTTTCCTTCCTTTTCCCCTTTCTTTCCCTCCCTCCCTCCCTCCCTCCCTCCTTCCCTTCCTTCCTTCCTTCCTTCCTCACATCCTTTCCAACATAAACTGTCATTGGTGTTTTTTATCTGACCGGTGTAAGATGTTATCTTAGAGTTGTTTTGAGTTGCATTTCTCTGATGGCTAAGGATTCTGAGCACTTTCTTAAGTGTCTTTCAGCCATTTCAGATTGCTCTGTTGAGAATTATCTATTTAGTTCTGCACCCCACTTTTTAAATTCATTGTTTGGTGTTTTGGTTGGTAGCTTCTTGAGTTCATTGCATATTTTGGAAATCAGCCCTCTGTCAGATGTAGGGTTGGTGAAGATCTTTTCCCATTCTGTGGGCTGTCAATTTGTCTTACTCACTGTGTCATTTGCCTTACAGATGCTTCTCAGTTTCAGGAGGTCCCATTTATTAATTGCAGACCTCAGTGTCTGTGCTACTGGTGTAATGTTCAGGAAACTGTCTCCTGTGCTAATTCATTCAAGGGTATCTCCCACTTTCTCTTTTAGAAGATTGAGTGTGGCTGGATTTATGGTGAGATTTTTGATCAATTTGCACTTAAGTTTTGTGCATGTTGACAGATATGGATCTAAGGATGTTACTAGATAGGTCAGACCCAGGCTAGTTTAGAACTCATCTTGTATACTGCTAGGCTGGCCTCAAATTTGTGCTGATCCTCCTCCCTCCATCTCCCAAGGGCTAAGCTAAAAGGCATTTACCACTATATCTAGTAAAGTATTTTTTAAAAACAACTTTCTTTTTTAAAAAAGTATTTATTTGCATGCATGTGTGTATGCACATTCATGTGTGCCTGTGTGAATTTATGTTCACCAAATGCCTGCAGATGGCTGCAGAGGCCAAAGGGTGTTGGATTCCCTGGAGTTGGAGTTACAGGTCCTTGTGAGTCGTGATCTAGGGGCTTGGAACTGAACCTGGGCCCTCTGCAGGAGCTGTATGTACTTTTAACTGATGGGCCATTTTTCCAGCCCTCCAGAAACATATTTTTGAATGTTGTTGTTGGGGGCTGGGGCTGCCACTGACACCTATAGGGTGGAGGTAGAAAGACTGCTAAGTATCCCACAATGCACAGGGCCACCCTCAACATGGATAGAATGGTCTGGTCCACCAGTGGTGTGAAGTCCTGCCCTAGAATTAAGCAGAGGAATCAAGACAGATAGGAGATTGTGGCTTCCCCAGAAGTTTTTCTGTGGATGCCTGGAGGGGAAGACTACCTCTAGGTGGTTGACACTGAGTTGGGAGCCTAGGATTCCACCTGACTCTGTTATATCTTAACCTTAGCTAGCTTTCTCAAGACCTCACCTTATTGTTTGCTTGGTGGATTTTGTTCTGAAAAGTGCATCTCTCTCCTATAGTTATAGCAAGATTAAAGGAGGAAAACACAGATGGCTCAGTGATTAAGGTGCCTGCTATACAAGTCTGGTGACCTAAGTTCAACCCCTGGAACCAGACCTCCACATGCCCAGGGCACGCGTGCCCACACATCAGGTGCACATGCACACATAATAATAATGATAACACATTGTAAAATTTAAGAAAATCTTTTTTTAAATATAGTATACTTGGAACCTTTGTTCTGGCCACTCCAACCACTATGGTGACCACAGAGTCCCAGTGCTGAGCTCCTGATCTACCTGAGTGAGGCTGAAGGCATCCTGAGGGGAACATGGCCATGAGTACCTGCCCTGGCAACTCTCTCCTCAGAGGACATATGGCTAAAAAAATCTTTTTAAAAATGAAAATGCACAAAAAATGCATAGTATAGTGCTTGGGAAAGGGGAAGCCAGTGGTAGCTATCTGATTTAAGGTATCTTTGAATCCCAGAGCTGGTACTGTGGTTCCTAGAAGGATTCTACCACCCTTATAGGATGGCAATGCTCATATTAACTTCCTTATTATTGAAGCCTTGAACTGATGTGTCCGGAATATTTAGACTGTTAATACAGTGCAGTAAGAAAGCTCACCACAGTGTGCCTCCCCCTAACCCCCAGCCCAGGCTCCTCCGTGTGGAGATAAGTGGACATCTACAGTGCATATGTTCCAACCAGTCTCTTGTTTCCTTGAAGTCTATGATTTCTGTTCTTTATTCCAAGCAATGGCATCACCTTCTACTTACTGTGCACTTGGCTTAGTCTCAAGATCATTTTAGATGTCCTGTTCTTCCATGCTCTTGTCGGTTGACCCCTAACTGTCTTCACACAATCCTGCCTCTCCTGTTTTCTTTACCCTGCATAAATTGCTGTAAGGGTTTTATAATGGGACTCCAATCCTCTAGGTTGGTTTCCTTGACCCACCTTCCTGCATATCTAAGATGCGTGATTATTAAGCTGATTCTGTTTCCTTGCTCGAAGTCCCTCCGCCAGTTCTCTTTGTTCACAGAATAAAGCCAGCCTCCTTGATCCTGGCATAAAGGACCCTCTGCAAACCCTGTTCCAGTCCACACTCTGTTCTCACTGCCTGTCCTTGATGCTACCCACACAAAGCTGTGGGGATTCTACACACACTGTCTCCTTACACTTCGTGATTCTGCACAAAAGTTTGCAAAAACTCTCGAATTTCTTTTTCTGTGCTGCCTCCTTGCCCACAGAATTCTACTCACTCGTCAAAGTCTTTCTTCTTTGAAAAACCTATCAAATAATCCACGTTCGGCAGGCATGTGGGCCAGCAAAAATGAGCCTGTTGCCTCCACACACTGCTTCCTGCTGGATTACATCCAGTCAGGTGGGAGATGAGGTCATTGTGGGTGCTTTTCCCCAGCTGGGCAATGTGGGCTCCGAGGCAATGTCTGCCTCATCCAATGGTTCTGATGGTGTGTGAGTGTACCTGCCACACTTCCAGTGTATCACAGGCACTCCACGGGCTCACTGTAAGAGTCTCACTGTGAATGTTGGCGATAGATACATCTGCGCAGCCTCCGGCAGTTTCCAGGATGAGTGTGAGTTCTCTCTGGATTAAACCAAGGCTAATTCTCATCTCCTGCTGCCTGCTCAGTTATTGGTTCTTCCCACTGTCGGCCGTCAGCTGTCTCTCGACTCTCTGAGCTACTCACTCTGTGGCCAGCACGCGTGAGCTAGTGAGTTCACCATTCAGTCTGCTGGGCAAACAATTCTGGTCCAGCTGCCTGACTAACCTGACAACAATTCAAAGGGCACGAGCCCCACAGGTGTGGAAACCCTGAGGGACGGGCAGGTCAGAATCCCACAGCCGTGCCTGGCTCCCCCTCCCCACTCCCTGCTGGCTCTGATGAACCCCCCCTCACACACACACAGACATACAGACAGACAGACTTACCTTTTCAATACAGCAATCTCATTCTCTAGGCTACTGTCCCGGAAGGCTGGTGACTTCTTGATGCACTTCAGGGCAAAGAGTTTCCCAGTCACTCTTTGCTTCACCAGGAACACTTCTGAGAAAGCTCCTCTGTGGGGAAGAGGCCAAGATAGAAAAGGTAGCTCTGGCTGGCAGAGAACATTCCAGAAGGAAAGGGGAAGAACAGAACAGAAGAGGAGATGAACGTGCGGCTGATGCATTTCCATTGTCACCATGCACTCAGATGAGTGGGATGCCATGACCTATCTCACATGCCAGCATACTCTTTTCCCTTGTATATCGAATGGGACAGATGTAGGGACCAGGCTGCCACTTTCCCCTGTGCCAACCTCACAGACTCTGCTTTAGTTGTGGACGTTTTTCCACATGGCAAACCCCATTAAGGCTTGGCAGAGCCAATTCACAGCGCATCAGCACAGTGTGGTGTGGCCAGTGGTTCCTGCTGTATCGGGAGATGAACGCAGGTGTTCGGCAGGCCCACATGCGGTGAGAGAAGAGAGACCCCTGGATAATTTTAATTAGCTTTTATTTATGAATTATTTAATTTGGTGGGGTCTTACTATCTCAGACTCTGCTCTTCTCAAACTTCTGGGATCATGTGATCCTCTTGCCTCAGCTTCCCGAATAGCTGGGACTATGGATGTGTCTTATCAATGCACTGCTGCTAATAACCCCAGTTCTGTCCTCAGAAGACAAGGAGGCCGACTATCCACTCCTTCATCCTAGCAGCCTCTGTAGATTCTGGGGCTCGATGGATGGAGCCCAGCAGGATTTGACATGCTTCAGGGGTGAAGGGCCCTGGAGATCAGCCATCGGAACATCACGTTAGCTAGGGTTGGAAGCTGGAGCTTGATGGTTCATGTTGGAATCTTAGCTTTGGGGGCCAATGCCATGCCAATCATAGCTGTGCAGTATTGTTGGAGAATGAGGACAGGAGAAAACCTGAACATGTCCAGGACAGACCCAGCTTTCTCCTGCTATGTGTGACTCTCTGATGGCTGTATCTGCAGGTGTGAAACAGAAGGATAAAGGGATGGCCGAACAGTGAAATGCTAACAGTTGGATTTAGGTAGCAGGGTTTATTTGAGTCCATCCCACCTTTTCCTTGTGTCTAAGCTCCTTTAAAAGCTGGAGCCATAGCTCTGGAATGGCTCCTGAGTCCCTCTAGGTTTGCCCAGTGCTGTGGTGGTGGGCCTCCCTGGTCATCGTGTTTGCCTCTGGAATGTCTTTTAGGTGCTACATCAGCTCTCATCAACCTGGGATTCTTGCTCTCCACTGCTTGAACTTAGGGTGGCTTAGCAAATCATTTCTGATTCACTTGTGAGCCTTGTTTCTCTTCAGCCAACTGCCACTTTCTAGCCATGTTGTAGACCCCCATGTTGGCAGGGCCCTTGAAGGAAGGCCAGGGCTCTGATAACCAGCACTGCTACTGTGTCCCAATGTACTCGCACTGTCAGATACCTCCTTGTGTAGGGACAGCCTGAGTCTCTTCTCAGTGGTGCCTGGTGCCTGTCTGTCTACAGACAGAGTGGGCATCTGTCACTGTCTGAGGTCACAGACTCCTGGCCAGGGCAGGGTGGAGTGACACTTTGCCAGCACTGGCTAGATAGCTTGCTAGAGCGAGCAGCCTGTGGACTCCTCGCTTGCCTAGGCCCAATTATCCCTGGCTCATTAGCTGGCCAGCTGGGGCTCTGAAGAAGTGCAGGCTGGTGGCTGGAGCTGCTGGCTGGCCTATATCAGAGCCTGTGACCTCCTGGGGGACAGGCAGGACTGAGTGTGGTGAGTCTCCTCTAGACAAGCAGCCTCACATGGAGTCAGCCAGCCGTGTGATTGCTGTCGAGGGGCCGGCCCAGACACCATGGGCTCCAGCATTTATAAAGCACTGGAATAAGGAGGAGAGGAGGGGTCAAGGGGAGCTGATGGGGGTTGAGGAACCCATCTGCTCTCCTATGTTAGGAGCCACTGGTGTGGCTCAAGATACAGAATCTGGGGGTAGGGGACAGTGTCTCCTGAGGGTTCCAGTTCATTAAAGTAACAGGCACATTTTTGACACTCTTAACTCCAGGGCTATAACATTCTGCCCAAGTCTCTTAGTGCAACTGGGCATGAGTTCCAGGGCCACCTCCCGCAGCAGGCAGCCCAGCCCCTGGACTTACGACCCCAGCACTTCCATGAAGATGAAGGTTTTCCTGATATTGGTGGTCTGTTTCTTCCAGGAACCACAGTCGTCGTCGTCCTCCTCCTCCTTTCGCCCCATCCCCTCCAGAGTTGAAGCTGCCTGGGAATCTTCGTGGGAGGGAGGGAAGCAAGACAAGGTCTGATCAAAGTGTTTCTCAAATAAAACAGAACAGAGAATCTAAAACATTCGGGAGCATGATGTAATGGGCCAGAAGGAAAGACTGGAAGCAGAACCTGGATAAATGGCAAAAAATGAGAGCATTCTCCCACTTGCTTCTAAAATTGCTAGAGCAACTTCAGTGAGTGGCTGCTCTGTATCTGCTTGCTAGATACCCTAGGGTGTGGATCAGGTCAGGGGTGGAAACCCGATGGCAATCTATGCATTAGTGAAGGTTCACATAGATGGACCACATACTTAGCTGGCAGGCATCTGAGCTGAGCCCAGGAACTTCCTGCGCTTATTCAGACTCTGGAGTCAGCCTGGCTCCTTTGTACCATCAAAGCTCTGTCCCTCCTTCCCTGGTCTTAGTCCTACCTGCAGCCACTCCTGTGAGGGAGCAGTGAGTTTCCCCTGCCACCCCCACAGCTTGCACACAGCGCTGGGGGGATTGTGTCTTTTAGCATCTGAATTGAAGCATTCCCTCATGGTGCATCAAAGCTCTGGGGCTGCACACATTTATGTAGTACCAGGGATGTTCCAGGGGCTACATAGATGATGGTGGACAAGCTGGACCATGTCCCGCCATCCTGGGGCAGCCAGGCAAAGGAAGCAGACAATGAGACAGCCAGGAAACTTCCACTCATGTCAATGGCTAAAGTGACAAGAGACTTGGTGGGTCACGGGAACAAAGAAGGTGTCTTCAGATAAGGCCAGTGGAGGCATTGTAAGCAGGTTGGATTTAGGCTGAGGCTTGAAGCTGGCAAAGGCATCAAATAAGCAAACACTGCACAGAGGGCTTCCCTACAGAAGAACTGAACACAAAGTTCCCAAGGCAGGGAAGCCAGGATAGTGGGGTGCACGGCTCCTGAGTGTCTGAGAGTGATAGGACACACCCCTTCTGCCAACACCCTCTACTCCTTGAACCTGACAGAGAAGCAGGAAAAGATGTCTAGTGGTTACTCCTTTTAGGCAGCGGCTCTGATCCCACTTTAAGACAAAAACAAATATCCATAAAATCCCCGAGGCCCTTTAGAAGGCTGTGGAAACAGCCCAACCAATAAAGTGCTTGTCTCAAAAGCAGGAAGATTCACATTTGATCTCTAGGAAAAGTTCAACATAGCAGCACATGCTTGTAGCCCCAGCACCGGGGAGGTGGGGACAGCTGTGTCTCTTGGGCTCACTGCTGGGCCAGCCTATTCTACTCCCATGAGGTCTCAAAAACAACAGACAGTATCTGAGGAGTGACAGATGAGACTGTCCTCTGGCACTTACACACTCGCACATTCACGTGCACTCACACATGCTTGCACACAGGCACATGCTTTGTGTCTGGTGAAGAGCACTGATTTGGAACCTGGCTTTGAATCCCCTCTCTCTATTAACTTCTTGGACTGTGTGGGGCAGGTGCTTCAAGGATGACGGATAGGGTGGCAGCCTGAGCTTGATGCCTTTGCAGACTGCAAATTCCAAATCTCCCAGGATCCATGGTGTGGGGCATGCCTGGACTCCACCTACCAGACAGCCAGAAAGGGAAGAGGACAGTTGTACTTGAGTTTGTCCAAGACGGTATGTCAGTCTTATGGCTGGGCTAGCTAGTGTCCAGGGATAGCTTCCTATTTGGTAGCACCTATTGGTGGGAAGTCTTGAAGGAGGCAGCAGCCAAGGTTAAGAGGTGCATGTCTAAAGGGGCAGAATAGACAAGATTGGTTTGCAACGCCTGCCTTTTGTTTTCTCCCCTCCACAGAAGAGCAGGGCTGGAGCTCGCTCCGGGTTAGTTCCCGATGAGGGGCTAACGAAGAGCCTGAACATGGGGACCTTAGCTGTGCACACCACTCCCCCTTCAGGACCCGTGGAGAATGACCACCTGCTCTGCAGGAGGCTCCCAGGCCTCATTAGCTGATATGTGCTCAATGTTCCTTCCTTCCCATTGCTCCTAAATAGCTTAAAAACACAGTATCCTTAGCCGAGGAGAAGCCATGGAAAACATCTTTCCCGCCCACCCCTCCTCCCATACAACATGTCCTAACAATTTAGCTTTATCATCTGTGTGGAACACTCAGGGCCCAGATCTGGACCCCACACCTTCTAGGGCTGGTCTCCCACAATCTAAGATGTCACAGAGACCTCCTGGGAAGGAGGCCCAGGTGGGGTAGTCACAGGGAGGGAAGGAGGGAAGAAGAGAGGAAGGGAGGGAGGGGGGGCTTAGGCACACCCCAGTTGGTTCATGCTGCTTTCTGCACCAGTCTCACCCTCCCCTTGTCCCCTGACTTCAGCAATGCCCTGAGCTCTGATATTATTTGCTTTGCTTTCAGGGCATTCTTCCTCATGCTATTTCCTATCACAACTGCCATTGGGTTTTAGAACTTAGTTCCCACAGACTCCTCTGAGGCTTAGGACCAATTTCACCTCCACAGAGGCAACCCCTGAATTGGCATAAGCCCCTCACCCCTCAGCAAAGTGAGATCGTTATGAGGAAGGATTCTATACCAAAGACTCCTGGCAAAGAAAAACGACCATGTTTATGTAAGACCATCCCTTAATCATGAGGTAACAACCTTCCACCCAGTGAGCACTTTCAAGTACTTCTTGTGTGCCCAGGACTGAACACAGGTATTGCTATGACATAAGCCCGGGCCTGCAAACACTTGCAATCTAGCTGTAAAGAATGAACGCAGGTCTGTATCGATGGAATTGTACAGGCAAAGTGCTAGGCCATGTGCCTAAAACACAAGCATTCCCAATATACAATGCCTATTACTGAGCCTGGTGCACACAGGAGTCTAGCTAGCCTAAGCCCCTGCAAAGTAGGTTGGTTTAAGACAGGAGCTAGGCTTAAGATGGGCATGAATGGTGGATAGGTGCCTATTTTTGCCCTGCTCTGAGCCTGTGCAGAGGGTGGCGCCCCATTGAAGCCACTGATAGCAAGTCCTGTCTGAAGCACAGTGGGAGGAAGGCAAAATGGTGGCAGAAAGACAGATTGTCTAGCTTCTTGTCATTGTCCTGGCATCGGAAGGAGACTAATGGGGTCTGAGTACAGTCCTGAGTCTCTGGGACACTTTACCTATCAGCTCACTTTTCTCCCAGTTCCCTTCTCCTACAAATGGCGTTTGGCCACCCTGTTATGGGTAGAAATAACCCCAAAGAGACTTCATCAGCTTCATCAGTCTCGGTCTTGTTTTGGTCTGGTCTTCCTAGACTCTTGGGGTCCTTTAAGTTTCTAGCAAGGTGGGGGGTTCAGAGGGGATACTTCTTCCCAGAGGACATGCAGGACAACTCCAGCCCTGGCATGTGTGAGCTCTTCCTGTGCTTCTGGGGCAAGCACTCTGACCCATGTTGGCAACCAGCCTGGCTGTTGATGAGAGATGGCTGAGAGACGCTGGACATGAGCCCAGCAGGCAAGAGGCCCCAGTGTGGTGTCCCCTGGGGCTCACTATCCTCTCCTTAGCTCCACTGGGTCTGGACCCACACCCAGGTGTGGAAGATGAGGCGCCTGTGCCACGTCCTCCTCGCTGCCGTCACTAAGCCCACATGTGCGAGCCACACACTATGACCCACACTTCCTGACCCTTACCTCTACTCCCTTGCTCCATGTGGCCTTGTCTCAGCCATTTAGGACCATCTAGGGAGTCTGGAGTCCTGGAATCTTTGCATTGAGTCTGAACTACCTGAAGACTTTCCATCAAAACCCATTCTCTCTCTACCCGCACACACAATGAGGGGATGACATGGTGCCCCTAAGCTGTCCTAAACACACCAAAAGGGTGAGGGCAGGGTCAGAGAATCTTTTGTGTGCCATCTCTGTGGTTCGAAATCTGAAGAAAATGGCTCCGGGTTCCACCTACAGAGGGGACACTGGTGTACTTTCCACACTTCTGCCTGGAGTTTCTCAGGAAGGCGTTGTCTCACTAGCTCTCACTGACCCCAGATGAGTCAGGGTAGCTCAACAATTACTTTTCTTTTCTGGTGCTGGGGATCCAGTCCATCCAGAGCCTCCCACACTAAGCAAGCGCTCTACCCCAGAACTCAACCCCAGCCACCCTAAGGCTCCTTTGTCCTCCTCTCTGGGGCTATTGGAAGCATGGCATTGTAGACTCAGGGGTGCTGGGGAGGGGAGGTTATCAGTTGTGCCATCTTTAATAATAGTGTGCACCCTGCCTCCAAGCAGAGCCACACAGAGCAGATTATGCCGGTTTGGAGGGCAAAAGCTGGGCGGTTTTCCTGACCTGGTACCACAGTTTCCAAAATTCTGACCTGTACCAGACTCTATCATCCTCTGGACTCCAGAGCCTGGATTGAGAACACACCGAAAGCTCACATCATGGCTAGAGCTCTGCAGCTGTGTAGCCCAAGGCAGATCACTATAGACTTCTGAATTTTGACCTTTCTCCTTTGTGAACTAGATGAGTCCCTGAAGTCTTGTGGATGTGATTCCTGAGAGGAACTCCCGGTGGAAAGATGGCTCTGTTGTGCTGTGGCTGCCTGTAGAGTCTCCGTCCACATCAGATGCCACCTCAGCTCTGAGGATGATTGCAGACTCTTGCTCACTGCTGTCTCCCCTAGCAGTCCTCACATTTCCTGGATGAGATGCTTTCTTTATACTCAGCAGCAGCAGGGACCCGGGCTGCTCATGGGGAGCATGCATTGGCTCATGCAGGTGAGGCCATCACCAACACTGTTTTTACTTTGTCTTCTTGAGGAATACGGGCAATCCCCAGCAGCCGTTTTTGCCATCCATCACAGTCCTACCCTTTCTGTGGTATCACAGGCACATGGTGACATCTCTGCAGCTGGCACAAATTGTGTCTAGCTCATAGGTTGCAACCCAGTGGCTCATCAGCTGGCAGGACCCCAGAGCCTCCTGCTGGCGAGGAGCACCTAGGCTCACTCTGCTCGTTCTCAGCCCTGTCACCAGCTCCATG